TCTTTTTTTTTTTAAAGAAATTAAAACTTTTATTCAGCAAGGATGTGTTAAATTGTTGTTGTTAGAAAAGATTAATATTTTGAATAAACGCCGTTTTATTTAACTTTTTATTCATCAAAGAATCCTGAAAAAAGTATCGCGGTTTCCAAAAAAACATTTGGCAGCACAACTGTTGCCAACATTGATAATTCTAATAATAAATCAGCATATTAGACTGATTTCTTAAGGATCATGTGACACTTTATACTGGAGTAATGGCTTATAGAAATTCAGCTTTGCATCAAAGAAATAAATAATATTTTAAAGGATATTAAAATAGAAACCATTATTTTATATTGTAATAACATTTTGCAAGATTACTGTTTTTATCTGTATTTTTGATCAAATAAATGCAGCCTTGATGAGCAGAAGAAACTTCTTTAAACAACATTACAAGTCTTACTGATCCTAAACTTTTGACCGGTAGTGTGCGTATATATATCGGTAGTGTGTATATATATATATATATATATATATATATATATATGTATATATATATGCATGTGTATGTATATGCATGTGTATATATATATATATATATATATATATATATATATATATATATATATAAATAAATAACTTTAAAAGCCTTTAAAATTTTTAAAGCATTTAATTGAATTTGTTTGTTTGTAAACATAAAAATGTCAACTGAACTTAATAGTTTGGACTATTTGGTTAATTTACTAAAGGTTAATTTTAACCTTTAATATTATTGTAATGTACAGGGTTGACAAAATGACAGGGTTCCCTGTATCATTTCAGCATGTTGATAAAGACTTTTTTCCTTAAGACAAATTTACATGTACTGTACCTGATGAATCGATACCGAATCAAATCGAATCAAGAACGTGCAAATTGAATTGCGAAATCTGTGTCAATACCCAGCTTACCGGTGATGTGACACAGACAATCATAAGGTATTTAATGTTTATTATATGAAGAGAGTGTGATTTCACTCTGAACGGGGAGACGCAGTGTGATACAGAAATCAAACCCAAGAAACCATTCAAGCAACCTGCACTCTTCGTTTGGTGGTGCTGTGGCTGGTTAGGACTAAGATTCAGATTTATCAGTCGTGTAAATATATATCTGATGGTGCAGGACATTAGCGAAAAGAGGCTGACAGGAAGTGGGTGACGGCAGATCTGTGACTTCAGGCTAGCAGTCACATGAGGATGAGCTTCTGTGAGACCTGCACGCTGTGATCAATACAATGCAATCACTGTCTAACAGCAAAGCCCACAAGGCTTAGCAGCTACTTAAGCATGTAAGTGTAAAATGAATAGATAGTGTCTCATCCTCAAGTTCACCTGTAGAGTGTGTTGAAGGCTTTCTCACAGCCCTGGACGTCACACTCAAAGGGCTTCTCTTTTGTGTGGACGCGGACGTGGATCTTCAGGCTGTAGGACGTGAGGAAGGCTTTGCCGCAGCCCTGCTGGTTGCACACGAACGTGTATTCACCGCGGTGCGTTTTCTGATGAGTGCGCAGGTTTCCCGCCGTGCTGTAGGTGCGCGTACAGCCCTCGAACATGCATTGGTATCGCTTCACCTGAGAGATGGATAGAAAGAGCCAATGGTTACAAAGAGATGGACATGAAAATCTACAATAGAGAACAAAAAGCATGACTCAGATGAACATAACGTTTCCTTTTTGCCAAACTACCACAAACAACATCCTCTCACAGATGCCAGGCTCTACAACGAACAAAACATATTTTATATACAATTATATTATATAAAATATACATGTAGTAGAATGACAAATTTATCAATTTACATTTCTTTCTAATCACTTGTGGTTAAAGGAATCTTTCACTCAAAATTGAAACTTCATCTGGATTTTGATGAGTTTGTTGATTTGGAGAATGAAAACATCACAATAATCCACACCACTCCAGTCCATCAGTTAATGCCTTGTGAAGTGAAAAGCTATGTGTTTGTGAGAAACAAATCCATCAAGATGTTTTTAACTTCAAAGTGTCACTTCTGGCCAAAACACAAATCCATCATAATAACGCTTCCGGATGTCCTCAATCATTAAAATCCGTGCACATATTTGTTCAGAACGGTTTTCACTTGTAAACAGTGCTTGATCTGCACAGATTTCTCTCCCGATTCAGACGAGAGACGATTGCTTTACTGTAGAAAGCATTATTATGGATTGAGGACTTTTAGCTGGAAGCAATGGTTTTAAAGTTACAAATGCCTTAATGATGGACTTGCTTCTTACAAACAAGCAGTTTTCACCTTACAAGACGTTAACTGATGGACTGGAGTGGTGTGGATTATTGTGATGTTTTTATCAGCTGTTTGGACTCTCATTCTGACGGCACCCATTCACTGCAGAGCATCCACTGGTGATGTAATACAAAATTTCTTAAAATCTGTTCCCGATGAAGAAACAAAACCCATCTACATTGTGAATGAGGGTGAGTAGATTTTCATTTTTGGGTGAACTATTCCCTTAAGTGGCATACTGGTCAGAGATGTAACCTAGTGGTTAACTCACATGGTGCTACCCGTGGTGCTCATGTGTACAACATGACATCCAATCCGGCTCATGACATTTCCCAATCCACCCACTTCTTCTTCTCTCTTCATTTCCTGTCATAGTACTGGCCAATGTTTGCCATACTACTGATACAACTTCTGCAGCATGCATACTGCGCATAGTAGGCCAGTGCAAATTTTCTGCATGCACAGAATATCACCTGCTACATTTAACTAAAGGTGCAGTAGGCAACAGAGCACACTGCATGGAACACTGTATCCCACGATGCAATGCATTTGACTTGACCTTTCATTTCCAGTGTGATGATATCACCTTATAGTGTGATGTGAGCTTTCTAACAAAATCACATTGCTCGCTTTCTGTTTATAACCTATTTAATGGCAGAACGTTTTGTTTTCATGCTGCTAAATAAATGCTGCTCTGTTAAACTTACAAAAAAAAATCATGGTATCAGTTTTTACTAAAATATTAAGCAGCACAACTTATTTCAACATGGAATATAAGAAATGTTTCTTGAGCAGCAAATCAGCATATTAGAATGATTTCTGAAGATCATGTGACACTGAAGACTGGAGGAATGATGCTGAAAACTCACAGGAATCACAGGAACATATTCACATAGAAAAGAGTTTTACATTGTAATAATATTTCTAAATTTTTACTGTATTTATGATAAAATAAATGCAGTCTTAGTGGGCAGAAGAGACTTCTTTCAAAGACATTAAAACATTTTAATGGCCCCAAACTTTTGAACAGTTGTATATGATATAAATTACATTTTTTTAAAAAAAGGAAAATTAAGTTCACTTATATTCTTTAGTTCCATGCAAAAATAAAACTAAAAATGTTAAAACAAAAAGACAAATTAGAAAGGAAGATATACTTCAGTGGCTTGTTTTCTTGCCTATTTTTTCCCACTCTCTTGTTATACGGCATGGTGGGACAGATCAAAGGGCATCAAGGGCCAATTCTGGACCTGGTTCAACATCTCTGGTCTAGAATTACTGATGTATTAACAGGTTTTTTATGTGTAGAATAAATACAAAAATATAGCATGCAGTTAGTTGCCCTAAACAAAATAAGTTATATTAATCAACAATCAAGATTACAATATCAGGAGTTTTTTTTTTTATTCTGTGTGACGAATTCTGCTCAAATCTTTCATAAGCTGCCAACAGTGGATCAACAAAGCGTGTCCTGCTGTGTTTGGGAAACACTGAACACTATTCTGAGTGGTTTACGTGTGGCCGTGAATGACCCGCGCCTCTGTGTGTGCGCTTGAGCAGCAAACAGACTCTCTTTCACATCAAGCCACTGATCAGTATTCAGCAGCGAAATCTCTTGTCGTACAGACGTCTCTGTTCCCAGGAGCAAAGAACATCAGACCATGAGATAATGCTGATCTCTCTCTCTCTCTGCTTATAACAGACAAACTACACAATACACATCAGTAACTCAAAAAACACACCTTACTTCATTTGTTCTGGAAATGTCCTACCCACTTTAAGGCTAAAATCTAGCCCAAATCTGATTTTATCCTCATTTATACTTTGTATTTGTCCTACTATTTTTGAACGTTAATGTTGCATCAGATTATTTGCTTCTGACCATGTGGTCTCACTGCTCTTTTAGCTCTACACTTCATATTTTACAATCTCCTTCCATTTTCATACAATGCTACACATGATCAACACATCAATTTAACTCCCATTAGTTGTTTGTTGTAATATTTTTTAACTAACGCCATTGGTCAAACTAATTGTTCATTGTCAGTTGATGAATAATTAGTTAACCACGTAGGTTCCTAATCAAAGCAATAAACAATAATATTCTATTTCAACAAAAACACATCAATGTCATTCACAACAACATTATGTCACAGAAATCCAGATCTTTGAAGCTTAATTTGTTTTAAATTTGCATTGGCATGATTGACAGCCCTGCCAATTATTACTTATTTTAAAACTACACAATTATTATGTAAACTAAGCATTCAAAAGTTTGGCATCAGTAAGACGGGTTTTTTTTAAAGAAAATAATAGTTTTATTTAACAAAGACGCATTCAATTGATCAAAGAGACAGTAAAGCCATTTATAATGTTACAAAAGATTTCTATTTCAAATAAACTAGGCTACACTTTAAATTACATTTTAAAATATATTGATATAGAAACAACTATTTTACATTTCATATTTAACAATAATTTTGTTTTTACTATATTTAAAAAAAAACAGCGTTCTTATAGAAACATTAAAAAAATCTTACCAGCCCCAAACGCTTGAACAGTAGCGAATAAAATCAATTTAAAATTGCAAAAAAAATTTGTTTCAGTGTCTTGTGCATGGGAACCAGTTAAGGCGGTTTGCTTGTTCAGTGCAATGTCACAAATGGGTCATGTTTAAAAGGTCATGTGAAAAAAAAACTCGTACATTATCAACATCATCAATCATTCTCTGAATACAATGGCAAGAATAAAGAGCTCATGTAACACAATACTACAAACAAAAAAGACAACTACAAACAGAATATCCCATGTATTTAGAGTTATTACGAGACAAAGCCATGTAGATGTAGATGTGACGAATGACTTTTCAATGTGTGTGTGTGTGTGTGTGTGTGTGCGCACGTGGCACAACAGTCAATAAAAGCCGGCCATTTGCAAGTCTGTGTAATGCAAATAAACCACCTGGAGCCATGTGTTGCAACCAAATTATTCAATTTCTGCTTCACGGTGGCCATTCCACATGAGTAATACTACATACATTATTACATTTTTGAATGGTTTGTGTTTGCATCTTCAGGCTGTTCAGCATGAAATCACTACAAATGTTACATAATACCTGTCAGCTTAATAGTCAATCTATCACATACAGGCTCTGAGACTGAATGCCTTTATAATGACTCCTAAATATGTACAGTATCTCACAGAAGCGAGTATACCCCTCATATTTTTGTAAATATTTTATTATATCTTTTCATGTGACAACACTGAAGAAATGACACTTTGCTACAATGTAAAGTAGTGAGTGTACAGCTTGTATAACAGTGTCAATTTGCTGTCCCCTCAAAATAACTCAACACACAGCCATTAATGTCTAAACCGCTGGCTACAAAAGTGAGTACACCCCTAAGTGAAATAAATATTTGGATAAACTATTATTTTAATACATTATTAGATTGTTATAGCCTTATGAATTCAATTAATTAGACATGCGTTTTGATTATTAAAATTGAACGAAACCATCAATATTAAATCTTGAAAAAATAAAAATGGAAAACACAGAATTTGGGGGGGGGAAATATAATAAAATAGAATTTTTGGATCAAATAAAACTGAATTTCATAGGTCCCTAGAATCAGTTAAAACTAAGTTTAAATCCAAGTGGTTAGTGCATTAACATCTCACTGACTTACAGACTGGATGTTTAGTATGTGGTTAGGACCATTGTGAGTAGGCCTGGGCGATAAAACGGTATCGATATTTATCGACGGTACACCTTTCTTCGATAACGATATAAAAAATGTTCGATATAGTGCA